AGCGATCTTTATCAATGGTAAATTTTTGGAGAAAAAAGGTGGTTTGTATCTCGTTGATTTGTTGATCGAATTGGTAACTCACTTGATTGATTTATTTAATTTCCGACTAATTAAAAATTTACGTCTGATCCATTGAGTGAGGTGCTTGAGAACGACCTTAGACAGATGTAGAAACGTTGCCACGTATAGACGATTTATTGGAAATGCAACCTGGTTCCCAAGTCTCGATCTTAAAAGCGGATATTGGCAAGTTCGTATGAACCCAACCGACCAAGAGAAAACGGCATTCATGACAAGAAACGGATTATATGAGATATTTTAGAACAATACATTAGAATTTTTAAATCTTTGTAATAATAACTTAGATCCAAAAGTTGGAAAAGTATTGAAGATGCCTTTACACAAATATCTTAATAATTTCTATAACTTTTAATATAATCATAGCTGTACACGTATCATAAAAATAAATACAAAGTTTATTTGGTTTAATTTTTTTTTAAATAAAATCTTTTAATAATAAATATTGTAAACAATACAATCGATATAAAATAACTTTGAATCTCAACTATGGTATAGCTTTTAAGGCTTGGCTTTTATCAAGTGCTTCACCCCAGTTTTGTCTTCGTCATTTCATACATATAACAACCATTGCCTGGCACGACGTACCTAGTGAAAAAAAGAAAGAATTTGTAGCAGCTATTAAGTAATCTAAATATGATTCCGTTAGTTTTATTGGATTTATCGTGGATTGTTTATTGATTTGCTGTAAAAATTCCAGTTATTGTACTTACAGGCAATGTGGTAACATATCTAGCAAAAAAAAAATTCCGAATTGGAAGAATTCGTAAGTGAATTAGATAGAGTTGACATATTGATATTATATTGTATTTATTACTATAAAAAATTTAGAAAATTCTGAATTGGAAAGAATTTGTAGGCTGAAACTGCTGGTAAGTGATTTGATAGGGATATATATATATTTATATTAATTTTGTATTAGATTTATTATGATTTGTGGTGATTTACTATAAAAATTCTGATTTAATACTTGCAGATTAACGTGATGAATACCCAGTAAAGAAAATTTCTGAACTGGAAAGACTTTGTAGCCACTGGTAGGTGGTTTGTTTTTGATTTATCGTGTTTTGTGTGGTGACTTACTGAAAAATTTGGATACTATAATTTCAGACTATTAAGATGATATGCATAGAAAAGAAAATTTCCGAACCAGAAAATTTGTAGCCGCTAGTAGTGGTTCGATAATGTGTTGATTTTCTGATACTGTATTTGCAGACTAATGTGATGAAGAAAAATTCCGGACTGGGAAGAATTTGTAGTTGCAGGTAAATGGTTCGATAGTGATAGCTTAATTTTTTGTATTGGGTTTAGCGTGGTTTATGTGGTCATTTACTATGAAACAAAAAGTTTTATTTACTAAATCCAGGATATCTCGCGATCCAGCAGTCAGAATTTGATGGATTTTATACCATTTGATTCATCTTATTGGACGAATCTAATGATATAAAATTTATTAAATATCACTAGATCGTAAGATATCTTTTCATCAGTTCGAATTTTGACTATTGGATCTTCTTTTTTTTTTTTTTTGGACATTAAGGTCGCTCTCAAGCGCCTCAATCAATGAGTCAAAAAGCGTCTGGGAATAAATTTTACTTAGCAGAAAATATTTAAAATTAATTAAGCATGTTTATCATTACGATGAGTATGCGTAAATTAATAAAGTTTATTACGTAATAAAGATTTTTTTATTAGTAAAAGACATTAAATGAATGTTTCATTTTAATCAACAAACTTTTTACAACAGACCTCCTTTTTTTTATACCTGCCTTTGAAAATTTTACGATCAATAGAGTATTCAAAGAGATCACTCAAGCTTTGCCATGGATCATCATTTTCGACAGCAACGAATTATTATTTTACTTCTCGCATTAAAAGTTTTTATAAAAAAAATTGAGAAGCCCAAGAAACGATATCAAATACTTACCATCACTTGGCTTTTACTCAAATGGCGACACATTCAACCATTCCGTCATTATAATTGGTGAAATCAGCGAATAGAGTACTAGAAACTACCGAAGTTTATGCTTCACTAGAATTTCGATAATCAGTAACATCTGTTACTTTCTTTTGGATAGACGCTCTTGTTTTTTTTTGTTTTTTTTTATTTTTTGTTATTTTATTTTTTAACTTTATTGATTTTTTTTTAATTTTTTTTTTTTTTTAATTTTTGACAACATTTGACAACTAATAGAAATCAATAGGGGACTGCTCAAGTATAACAGGAGGGAACGTTGTTGTTACACAGCTGATTTTACACACGGTGTGAAGTAGAGACGGGCAAAATTATTATGTATTCTTACTTAATATTACTTAATATTACTTCAGTTTTTTTGCATTAAGTAATAATAATAAGTAATGCTTTTTAATAAATTTATTTTTATTTGCAATTTTTTTGTTTATTAATTTTAACAACACAAATATTTATAATTGTTAAGTGGAATAGCAAAATGAATGTTTATAGAATTGTATATAGCTAATTTTCGCGTATAAAATATATATATAGAAAACTAAAATGAAATGTTATTTAATTTTTCAAAAAGTAACCAGCTTTCTAATGATTGTTCACAATTATTTGTAACTTGACTATGTTCGCTAATAGCTTCATTATATGTAGCTTGATCATTAGCATTAAACACATTAATATTTTCGATTGTTTTCATTATATCTTCATGGTTTTCAGCTTGTTCAATAGATGGAGATAATTCATCTTCATTAGAATTATATATCTTATCATCAATAGCTAAAATATTAATAGATGGATTTTCTTTAGTATTTGCTTCATTAGAATCAATCATAACAGTATCTTGAACAATTTGTTGAATATTATTAATCTCTTCATTATTAAGAGAATAAGTTTCTTTTTGAGTTAAATGCCACCAAATACAAGTTAATTTAAATGCATTATCGTTAGTTAATCTATTCCAGTGTGGTGTATAAATATTTGCAATAACTGACCAAAAATGTTCACTATCAGCTGATGTTGGTGGTATACTCATAATTCGAGAAGCAAATTGTGCTAATTTAGGCACCTCATTTTGAAAATTGTTCCAAAAATATACTGGGTCTTTAATTAAGTAATCATCCCAGTTGCCTTCAAAATCGAAAGAATAAACTTTATTACTCCAATCAATTAATTGCATTCAAAATCTTCTAACATCTTTATTTGGAAAAAGACATTTAAATAAATAACTAGTCTCTTTTTTAATTATAGTTGAAAGCTCAGGATGAACAGCTTTTGCAAGTGCATATTTAGGATGAAGAGACCAACAAACAAGAAAAAGTGAATTATACATTCTGTCCCACTGATATTGAATTCGGTTTATAACATATTGTTTAAAATTGGTATTATCAATTGTATTAACCATTATTTGCATTCGAGCCCATAAGTATACTGTATCAGCAAATATTGCTTGTCGAGATTCCAAAAAATAGGAATAAGTGAATAAGTTTCTAATATATGAACTATAATTCTTAAATAATACCAAAACATATTATCTTTAAGAATAGATATAATATGTTTGTCTAATTGTGATTCCATTTTATATGCTATATCTTTCAAATATTGTTCTTTATTTTGTATTTGCTGCAATAATACAAAAAAAGAATTCCATCATGTAAGTGTAAGAAGTGAAAACCGAAATGTACTATTATTTGTATGAGCTCAGATATACTGAATTGCCTGAGTGCTTTTCGAAAATATGTGATAACTTTCATAGTTACGCCTATAGTTGATTTCATATATTTATGCTTTAACATATCTCCAATTAATAGATTTGATTCATGTGCAGTACATGGCAAAGCTAAAATCTTTGGATACTGTTGAGTAAGCATAGCTTTCATGTGAATATAATTGGCAGCTCCATCAGTAATAATTGCATTAATTTTTTCAATGCCAATTCATGTTAAAGTATCTTCTAAATCTTTAAAAATAACAATTGAGGTTTGACTTTCCCCAAAAGTATCTTTAATTCTAACAAGTTCAACTCTTCGATTTTTACCAATTGCCATAAAGTTTATAATATGATCTTGGTGAAGATTTGTCCATCCATCAGTTGCAATAGAAATCCAATTAGATTTGCAAATAAATTGCTGAATTGACATTTGAACCTTTTTGTAAACATCATTAAGAACATTTTTTGAAAGTTGTCTTCTTGCTGGGACATGATAATTTGTATTAATTGAGTAAACAAATTGTTTAAATTTTTTTGAATCCACAAATGAAAAAGGTGTGCCACCTTCTATTATACCCTCCAATAATAACTTATTAGATTCATATGCATCAATTGGTAAGTGTGTAAAATAATTATTGTTTGAAACAATTGAATAATTTGAAGCTGACATAGAAGGTGTAATTGATTCATCTGAAATGCTTGATTGTTGATCTTGTATAATAGTCAGATTCATTGCCATTTTTTGTTGCTGAATATGGTAAGCATCTAGAAGATATTTTTGAACTTCAAAAGAAATTTTTGAACATTTTTTAATATGTGAACTCATTACAGCTGCAGTGCCTGATATGGGTTTATCAAGTTTGCAAAAAATGCAACTTGCTTTGGGTTTTTTGTTAGTTGGAACTGGAAGAAAGGCTTGCCAAAGGGGACCGATCGGATGACCAATATTTTTAGCTAGAAGTGTACGAAGCAAATGTTGAATTTCTGGGCTTGGTAAAGGCCAATTTGACATTATAAAAAAGAAAATCAAAATAATTAACGTTTTTTTCTTCTTTTTTTTATTTATTTTATATAAAAACAGGCCATGTTCAAAATTATCATCATAAAACCTATCGCTACGATTTATCTAATATTCGAAATGATCAAATAAATACATCATAAAACCTATCGCTACGATTTCGAAATGATCAAATAAATACATCATAAAACCCATCACTACGATTTATCTAATATTAACCGTAACATTATATATCTTTATCAGATGATTACTTACATATTAATTAATAATGTAATAATTACTTAATATTAATTAAGGGATAAGTCATAAGTAATTATTACGTACAAAATTACTTTGCCCATCTCTAGTGTGAAGCACATAAAAAAATTATCTTACAATACTTGATCGGACTTGTTCAGTCAGCTAGTACATGTTACGATTATAATCCAACATCATTTTTTAATAATAAAAAATGGTGTTGGATTATAATCATAACATGTACTAGCTGACTGATCAAGTCCGATCAAGTATTGTAAAATAATTTTTTTATGTGCTTCACACCGTGTGTAAAATCAGTTGTGTAACAACAACGTTCCCTCCTGTTCTCAAGTATTGACTTCAATGATTATTTTGATTGATCGTAATAAATGAGCACTAGTACGATCACTCATTGAAATTGATGTTTGAGAATATTTGAATTATGTCATAAATTGCATATTCAAATTTTCGGCAAAAATTTTTTGTTAATATAATTATGTTTGAGCACTATTACGGTCACTTGCTAATCACATTGAGATTGACGCTTGAGAGCGACCTAAAACTGATAAAAATCTGATTAAAGATTCTCTAAATTATTAATGCCCTTTAAATATTGAGGTACAATCAAAATTAGCACAGCAATGTGATTATTTACGATTAGTTTAATAAAGTGTAGGGTTTTGAAAGCTTTTCTATTAGTAGACTAACGCATATTAAAATTAAAAACTTTTTTATTTATTCAATTGAGCTAATCACCAAATTTGAGTTTGTCACCATATCATCGGTTAGACTTACACTAATGTGCAATTACAATCTTTAATTTATTTAATCACAAGCTCACGTTACAACACAAAATTATCTATGAACAAACAAAAAAAAAAACTATATTTTCGTATCCAAATTACGTAGATTAAACACTGTATTTAAATACCAAAAGTTAAGTAATTAGAACTTCTAGAAAAATCCACTACTTCGTTATTAATCGCGTAATTGATCACCCTTGTAAGATATAATAAATTCAAAGCCAATATAGATTTTGTCCAATAATAATCATTACCAGAAAACAAAGATAAATTGAACAACTGAATTATCGGAGTCCAAATAAATGTTATTGTAATACCAACAATTCTCATTATCCTTTCCACTCTTAAAAAAAAACTCTTATTCAAATGGATAAAAGTACAATAACTCCATCTATTTCGACTACTAATAACAACAAAACTAATATAAATAGTAATTGCAACCAAACATATAATACCACTTACAGCGTGCAAATAAACAAAAATGGTCAAAGAAACACCTGTAAAAACACTTTTAGAATAGACTATAAAACAAACGTCTGATATAACATGACAAAATTCGATCAATAATGGAATAAAAAACATTCGCAATGTAATTTTCCATTCTTCGGTCGCTCTCAAGCGCCTCAATCAATGAGTCAAAAAGTGTCTGGGAATAAATTTTACTTAGCGGAAAATATTTAAAA